TCACCCAATCCATCAAAATTTTACCCTTTGAAGAAAAGGAACCTTACTTGCTTTTTTAAGTTGACATTCATATTTTTGTGTTTGACAGGTAGAGCAATGGTTTCTGACTAGTATAGTGAGAACTTTATTTTAGAATCATCAGATTGTTCTGATATTTTGGTTAAGATATCAACATGACATCAATTAATTTGTTCATACAAAGGAATAAAAGCTTTTCCAGGTTTCTTCTTCAGTCAGATTAAATAGTGTCCAACTAATATATCCAACATATAAGTTACTCATCAAAGTCAAACAAAGGTAAATAAATGACCTTATTAAGTTTTTAGTCAAAAGGTCAAAGTGAGGAGGATATCTGCTATATTTAATAGTTTAGTAAATATTCATCAAACTTCATGGATAGGTTAATTAAACAAACTTCATAAATTTTAATTTTCAGGTCAAAGATCAGCACAATTTTTGCTATACCATTGTTGTCCATGAATATCTTAACACCTCTTTTGGCTTTTCAGGTTAAAGGTCAATGTATTCCTGCTAAAGTAAAACTTCATTATAAGGATCTCATAGTGATATTCTTTATTTGTAAGAAATTAGGTATAAAATCTCCCACTCTTTCTAAAATATGTCACTGAATGTGCTCCTTCATTTTAGAGAGTTTTACAAGCAAATCATATACTGACTTTTAATGTTTCAAAACACAATATGTATATTAAATCTTGAGATTCAGACTTTCAGACTTTTAGGCTTTCAGACTCTCAGGCTTTCAATCTTTAAAAACTTTCAATCTTGAGGACTGAGTATTTTCATATTTATTTTCTTTTTATTACCAGACTTTTATAGGTGAACTGCATACAACTGAATGCATTTTTTATGGCAAAGCATTTAATATACATATTGTGTTTTGAAGGATTGAAAGTCAGTATATGATTTGCTTGTAAAACTCTCTAAAGTGAAGGAGCACATTCAGTGACATATTTTAGAAAGAGTGGGAGATTTTATACCTAATTCCTTACAAATAAAGAATATCACTGTGAGATCCTTATAATGAAGTTTTTCTTTAGCAGGAATACATTGACCTTTAACCTGAAAAGCCAAAAGAGGTGTTAAGATATTCATGGACAACAATGGTATAGCAAAAATTGTGCTGATCTTTGACCTGAAAATTTAAAATATATGAAGTTTTTTTAATTAACCTATCCATGAAGTTTGATGAATATTTACTAAACTATTAAATATAGCAGATATCCTCCTCACTTTGACCTTTTGACTAAAAACTTAATAAGGTCATTTATTTACCTTTGTTTGACTTTGATGAGTAACTTATATGTTGGATATATTAGTTGGACACTATTTAATCTGACTGAAGAAGAAACCTGGAAAAGCTTTTATTCCTTTGTATGAACAAATTAATTGATGTCATGTTGATATCTTAACCAAAATATCAGAACAATCTGATGATTCTAAAATAAAGTTCTCATTATACTAGTCAGAAACCATTGCTCTACCTGTCAAACAAAAACACAAAAAATATGAATGTCAACTCAACAAAGTAAGTAAGGTTCCTTTTCTTCAAAAGGGTAAAATTTTGATGGATTGGGTGATTCTTTGTTACTTTATGCCTATAAAGAAAAATATATGCCCTCCATTTTGACTGTATGGATTAAGAACTGTTTAATATATAATTGAATCAAACTTATTTCTTTCATGTCATTCTTAATGTCATAGTGTCCAACATTCATAATATGTACAAGTCTCAATCCTAATAGATGAATCCACATTTTGTTTTTATTTCACATCACTTGGCGGCCATATTTGAGGGAAACTCAAAATTCTCTGTCCATGTTAATTTCTGGTGTATACCTTCATCATTTGACATAACTTATTAACTTCTTGTATTTTGATTGCCTAGGTTAGGGCTATTCATACATAGAAAGAAAACAGAATATGAACACAGTGAATTTATTGCAATAATACTTACATGTTTGATACATAAAGAGAAATATTTTTTTTCATTCCTTTTTGACCTTTGGATTGATCCTGAATAGAGATACCATTTACTTTTTGGCAAGTGTAAACTATATACTGCATGACTAAACATGGTTTGTATATTGAAATATGAAATGGTTTCTTTAATGCTTAAATCATAATACTCCTACTGTTCTAGTGAGAATTATGCTCAATCAACTTTGTGAAATATTCACAACTTCCAATGCTTCTTATTTACATTAAGTAGCTGACTCAAATAAAATTGTTTGTTTTCTCATTTATTTTACAAGAAACAACATGTTGACAGTGAATCTAATGATCTTTTAAACTGGTTAGAGTAATGTTTACAATTGTCTTAAAATGCTCATATGTAAGTTTATTTCATACACAAATACCTTAAATGTATAGACTAAATGTACTTATAGATTCAATATATAGAAGAACCCCTTATAAATAGTAAAACCCATTTCTTAAACCTGATTTTCTTGCCTATTCTCTCATGCATTACCTAACTTGAGTATTCTCAAATTATTGATTACATGAACATACAAATATATACTGAATGCCCTGAATTTAAGACAAAACAACAATATATACTGAATGCCCTGAAATGAAATGGTTACATATGTAATATGTGTAACACATAATGTACAACTTTTAAGTCTACAAAATTTTATGTTAACCATATTATACAATAAGACTACTTTTTTCAAAGTTATGAGAAATTATCAACAAAAAATGTATTTATGCAAAAGATAAATGTTAGGGTACAATTTTAAAATACATTTTACACGAATCACATAAAGAACATATCAAATCATTTCTTTGTGGTTGTTTTCCATTGGAACATCTGTGAACAAACATTCTGTTTTGTCTTTTTTTTTTTTTGATACATAAAAAGCGTCCAAAAATCATTTGGAATTGTTGTGTTAAACCCTGATACTCAGAATTTTAAGAGTTTCGGTTGTGTTCCCTACTTAGAAATGTTTACAATGTAACAAAGATGAAACTCATAATTGATTTAATCAGCAATTATAAAGTCATCAGGTTTACACATGCTTTTCTAACACACCATGTATATTTTTTTGTACTAGGATGTCTTTTTTCACAAAAAATTGAAATCAACAGTACTTAGAATTCCATATTAAGAAATATGAACCCTAGCTATTAAAAATCTAAAAGTATATTTGTGCATGTTTATGTTTAACAAAACAATCTCTTTCACTGTGATGAAAATTGTCTTCTTCATATAACACGCAGATGAAGAACTTCTTTGGATGATGTCATTTTCACATGTAGAAAAGAAACTAATTCAACTAAAACTAAAAGACAGTCATTAAAATTTTAAGGACATTAAAGGATGATATCAAGACCTTAGTCCAGGAATTGATAAAATTCTACAATTATCATCCAAAGATGTATATGTTTGGATTTATTTTTTAATTCACAACCAAATGATATGCTGCCATTTAATCTTTCAAACTTAAAAAAAAAATTCTATACTTTTGAATTAAATATTTCAAAATCTAGAGGAGTCTTCCCAATACCTATCTATTTATGACTGAAGGTATGTAAATCACCAGAGTTGCTGTACTGCACCATTTAAATAAAAGTCATATCCACATTCCTGCCTTTTTTTCTAAACCTTATTTCAAAACATAAATTATTTCAATCAGTCTTTATCTACGCAGTGATTATAAGATTTTTACAGAATTCTAAGGTATTACATAGTAATAGTCTTTAAACAACCTTGAACATAGTGCATATGATTTACGTTTCAATTCTTTCCAAAGAATATGCTATGCCACCCAATAGAGCTGATATAAAGTCTCTAGGTTATCACAAAATGTTAAAAGTCACAACAACTAAATTTTACCCAGGAGAAAAATGATCCAAAAATCTATAGATCATCTCAGAATCCTTCTTTACTTATGATGTGAAGTTTGCAGGTTACAAATTATTGTCAAAGGTAGTTATCTCAATAATCTCATGCTTTGACCCTGACAAAGTGTCCTATAAAACTATGTGTATTACTCTAACCTGTTCTGTGTAGTAAGCATGAAGTCTAATGGTTGATAGAAATATTCAAGATATTATTACATCTTTATGGGGGTCCTATTGAGACCTATTAAATTCAAAATAGGACACACACACATACACAAACAAAATTCTTTTTAAAGTTCCAGGAAAGTAATAATTACATAATTACACCAAAGCTAGCTTTTACACATCTATGTAATTTGTTAGGGGTTGTAGAAATAAGATGAAAAATAAAAGGTTTAAATGTATACTTCTCATGCATAACAACTGTCTTCATATTGAATTGGTAAAAATAAAAGTCACGTTTAGATACTTTGAAGTCTGGGAAATATTTTTTTGAAGATCTCATACTATCAGAAAATCACAATATCAATTCTAGGATTTGATTAGACCTCAGTGTGTTAAAAGACTGCAATTTATCTATTGTTGTGTCTGACAGAATATGAAAGATATGAAGGGGAGAGTTTTTGAACTTTTTTTTCCCTTCATCATAATTCAAAATATATATATTATACCGGTCTTTATCTATGTAGTGAATATAGGATTTTTACATAAACCCCAGGTATTACATAGTAATAGGCATATAAACACCCTTGAACATTGTTCATTTGATTAACATTTCAATCCTTTCCTAAGAATTTGCACCTAATTGTTATAAAGTCTATAAGTTATCACACAATGTTGAAGTTATTGCATTACAAGACTCATATCAGTAATCTCAGTAAATGATCCAAAAAAATCTATAGAAATCTCTTATTGATTCTTCATCTGTGTACTTATGATGTGAAGTTTGTAAGTTACAAATTATTTTCAAAGAAGTCATCTCAATTTTATGCTTTGCCCTTGAAAAAGTGTCCTAAACAACAAAGTGTATTCCTACAACCATTCTATATGTAATGAGTATGTACAATATGGTATGATAAAGATATTCAAGATATTATTAAATTACAGATTATAAGACACATGCATCTTTATTGGGGGTCTTATTGAGACCAATTTTAAATTCAAAATTAAACATGATACATACACAAACAAAATATATTTACAATTCCAGGAAAGTAATAATTACATCAAATCCAGTATCTAGATATCTGTGTAATTTCTAGGGGGTTGTAAAAATAAGATGAAAAATAAAAGGTTTAAATGTGTCACATTCAGATACTTTGAGGTCCGTGAGAATTAGTTTTTAAAGAGCTCATGCTATCAGAAAATCATATTTCCAATACTTGATTTGACTAGATCTCAGTCTGATAAATGATTACACTTTATCCATAGTCAGTGTCTGACAGTAAAAGATACAATCCTGGCTCCTTTCTTTGTCATCCTGTAAACCACAGTCTATGATCGTACTGGTTAAATTGGTTGGAAATCATATTTATCTCTGTTCTTCTTAAATCCCCCATCCTGTTTGAGTTTCTTGTTTCAGTGTTCCAAGAGAGGGTATTCTGTTAGTCTTTGCATAATCTGAAAGTCTTTCACCATTCTGAGAGTAGACATAGATCATTTCCATAAGCCCTCACTAGAGAATCCTGAAAAATAAAAAAAAAATAATGTCTTAGTTGAAAAAAAAAATTGTAATGTACTATAAGCTTGATGGAATTCTAAATATAGACAAAAAAGGTATAAATACAAGGTGTAACATCAGATTTTGACTTTTCATATTAACCATGGGTAACACCTCCAGTAAAGAAAAGAGTAAAGGAATGAGTAAAATTCATCAGTTTGGAAAGAGAGTTCTTTCAGAGAAAGATGTAGACAGAGGTATACCAGTTAAAATAAAAAAAGATGGCACTATTGAGATCATTTCTCAACAAGAATATAATCAATTAAGTCCAGAAAAGGGTGATCATAATGTTGTCAGAGATTACATAGAAAGACCCTTGATTGCAGAAGAAGGCAATGAGGAATATAACCATTTATTACCAAAAGAGGATAAGAATTACTTGGATTGCCCTGAAAGACCTTTGACTGGAGAAGAAGTCAAGTTTATAGATGATAAAAGAAAATAGTTGTCAGAAAAAAATGTTGTTACAGACACATGATTTTTAGCCCACAAAACCATTGGAGAAGATACAAGGATTAATGGAGGAAGTCCAAACTGAACTCTTAGAGGACATTAAGGCTTATTATGAGAGTAACTTTTCCAGTATTTGTTTATTACAAAATTATGTATTCTAATAAAAAAAAAGTTTTCACTTTCATTTGTTGTGCCTTAGTCCATTTAAATTGACCTTATGGTCAAGATTGTTATACACACTCTGATAATCATCTATGATGTCTCTATGATGTTTACCTCAAAAGTTTGAATCAGGGTATTTGTGTTCAAAGAGCTGAAGAAACTATACAGACAGATGTAAGATTTTGGAAGCATACATATCAATGGGTTTAAAGGAGATAAAACACTAGATTATTAAAAAGAAAGAACACAAACTCATAGAAATGATATTGAAAGTACCTTTTATGAATAAAGGGTCATGCTCCAAGGTATTATTTTTATAAACAGGAGAAGGTTTACACCAGTCCCATACACTCATAAGAAGATCTTGGGTAGTAAAAACACCAGGGAATTTTATTTCCACACAATCAGATCATCTTACATCAGTTATAAAGTTACAATCTTTATACATAGTCAAGAGGGTCATTAAGATTTCTTTTCTGGTCATCCTAATGAGCCACATTATAGTATTCTTTCCCTGTGATATAATGTTAATATTAAATGAAAAATTCAGAATTCATAAGCAATTGAAGTCAAAACTTCTTATCTTTACCAACTATGCTATTAAGGAAGCTGGGGGTTAACAAATTACCCATATTTAATCTATTCTATAGATGTGCTATCTTCAGCTGTTAACTATTATTTGGCAAAAAAAAAATATATATTCATTTTAGTTTCAAAATTTGATCATGCATTTTTGTATATATATTGATATGGAGCTCTTCTTCTTCTTCTAAAGGAGATCAATATAGTCAAAACATGACCATGACCACCAAGCCCTTTTTATTTAAATATATCATTTACATATCAATTCAAAAATATAAACATGCATATGTAAAATTAATAAATAAATAAATATTACAATTGTATCTCATTGAAACTTTACCTTCAAGTTTGTGTGTTTCTATGTTGGTTGACTAACTGTGTATTTCCAAAGGAACAGCAGACAGTCTGAACTTCATAGAGAATTGATTACAGATGGTTTGTTCCATAGATGGTTTGGAACAAACCATATCTTCCATGTTGATGACTGTAGAAATAAAACCATTTTGTTAATATGACAGAGTACTGTGTGAAACAATACATGTTTAAAACCTGAACAAACATGTACAATGCCAAAAAAGTTCATGAATATATTTGTTTTTAATCTCAAAAAAAATTTTTTTTAATAACATTAACTCCAGATGAGAAAATTTCATCATGTTAATATCTTTAGATGATAAAAAAAAAAAGAAGCACAATTACTGTATTAATATCACAAATAAAATGATTATCAAATTAATTATTTAGACACTAAAAGACTTTTTATTAACAGCAGATTCAATTTTGTTTAATACCTGTCGAGTACTGCATACAGAAAAATACATGTTTTTATTAGCATCATCACAGTACAACATGTAGTCCTTAAATTTTTGAAAAGCTCATTACCAAGAAACAAAAGTGAAAATTAAATTATATGTATGCCATATATCACACATATTTAGAATCAAAACAAATGTAAATGACTTAGAATTAATCTTTTGTAAATTCCCTCCTTTTCTCTTATTAGATTCCTATTCCTAATATCTCTTTGATCACCATTTAGTAAGTCTGAATTCCATGGGTAACACACATAATGAATTATGAAATTATATCATGATTTCTACAAAAGGACTTATTAATATTCTGAAGATCCCTTAATCATGTGTTAATATATTTTAAGTTAAATAAGGGTGTGCTTATATGAATGTAAGTTAGAGACAACAGATCACATAAGTATTACACAGTAATTAAATTAACCATATAATCATGCTTAAATGCAAAGATGATCTTCATAGGAAATGTAAAAAATTAAAACAAGACAAACTTACCAGAGATATCCAACTATATGCCCAATAAGCCTATCCATTAAATAATCCAGTGAAATAACATCTCAGCTGATCCTGAAAAAATCATACAATTCAGTGATACACAAATTAACCTCATTTTACAATGTAAGTAAAGCAATAATTTACAGACAAAAGGGACAGAAATGTAAAAGATACCATGTATTTTACCAAAATTTAGTGAATATTTTTCTCATTGAAATTCAATCATAGAATGACCCATCATAGAAATATTAAATGCACTCTGAGTTACATGCAGGTTATACAACTGTAAATCACATGAAATGAGGATAAATACAGCATTTACATTCAAAATAGAACTTTACATATAAACCATGGTTAAATGCAAAGATGACTTTCATAGGAAATGTAAACAAAAATAAGACAAACTTACCTGTGGAATATGTCTGTCAGAAAGGAGATTTCAAAAATGAACACGCTCTCAACATTCACATGGCAAGAATGAATGCATCAGGATGTTTACTTCAGTGGTCATAGAGAAATTGAGCTTTATACAAGAAAAGCTTCACAGTAGGGAAATCATCATAGAAAAAGAGAGTAAAAACAAAAGATAGTCCTACATTTTCTGAAAATCTCAGTTCACTTCTTAGAAACAAAGTGAAAATGAAACTTTAATTTTACAAGTGGATGACGTCACAATGCATAGGTAAGCTCGCTGACTAGACTTTGTACAGAAACGTACACAGTACGATCAAAAAGGTAAGTCCAACCTATTTTTGCACACGACCCTAATTTTTTTTGCACACGGTCCTTACAGATGATGCAACAGGTATAAGAAAACGCAGGTAAAACGTATTGATGCACAGGGCCCTTACATTAAAGGTATATAAACCATGTGTGTTATTTGTTATTGTTTTCAGTAAAAAAAAAAATCCAGGTTTGTTATTGTTTTTCATTAAAAAAAATCCAGTTCGAACCGGTTAGGCTGGCTAGACTAGGCTTTAGACTGTGAATGAAAAGTGTGACGTCATAATCACATTCTTTGAGTCGCTGCCAAGTATTTTTTACCTGTGTACATAAAAAAAAAGTAGTCGCACCGTATAGTGTAAAACACTATATTTAGAGCTATGTACTGACCCACCTAACCCTACCCCAAGGACTGTACTGAGTTGAACCCCCTATCCTCCCCAGACCCCCCAATCTGCACTCTCTTGACCCCTATCCCCCAGGGGGGCTGCACTCCCTTGACCCCCTTATCCCCAGGGGGCTGCACTCCCTTGACCCCCTTATCCTCCCAACCAATCAAAATCCACCATTTTTTGACCTCATTTGCATAAAAAGTGCACTCAGTTGACCCGGCCATCCAGCCTGCTTCAGGCTAGGACACTTCTGGCTAGGCCACTTCCGCTTCCGCTAGGGCCTACTTCCGCTTCCGCTAGACCACTGAGGGTCCAGATGGACCGCTTCCGCTAGGCCACTTCCGCCTAGCCCACTTCCGGTTATGACGTCATTTCCGGCCACTTCCGGTTAAACCACTTCCGGTTATGACGTCACTTCCGCCCTATCTAGGCGGCTTATACTACTTTTATATATACAAGGGTTGTCCAAGATAAACGCAATCATTTAGAATATTTTTTACTTTTCAACCAAAACTTAAAATTTTTAGCATGTTGTTGGAAAACTGGCATTTTTTATTTTGACAAAATATTAATTATAGGCCTGTGATGTCATATGCCACATTTGAAAAGTGTTAAATATCGTTAAACGTTAAAAAAACGAAAATTTTTGACTTTTACAAATAACATTGAAGATTTCTTTGTTATCAGGCTATACGGTATAATGGCTATTATGACGCTGGTCACGACTGAGAAAGTGTATGTCGAATTGCAGAATGCCAATGCCAATATAAACTTTGTAAGTGCTCAGTCTGAATGTGTAAACGATTCTGCAAATCAATACAACGCCGATTGTGATTTTGAATGTGCTTATATTCCTCAAAATACTGATTTGATTAATGCACTAACTGGCGAGGGTATCATGAGCGATATTCACGGAAGTGGAGACCATACAACTACACACACACATGGGCCTCAAACGTTTGACTCTAACTCTGTCTCCAGTTCCGATTTTCGATATCTGGACACAAAGCTTCAAAATCTACCGAAAGATCGTTATGTGCAAAAGTTATTAGAATTGACATCCAGTAAAGAACACGTTATTATAGACTACAGATCATCTCTGTGTTTAAGATTTAAGAGCAAAAACAATGGAAGGATGTCCAACGGGAAACCTTACGACAAGAAAATCAACCAAACTCGATTCTAGTGTAGCCAAATACGCAAAAGATTGCTTTGCATTGCATATGTTCTGCAGCGGTGACAGTTCTTATCTATCCAATGTATTTGACAAATCAAAACACGGACAGTCCGAATTTCCCAAAACATCATTGATTGAATTACTGATTGAATTACGCTCTCTCGTACAGAGCCTCCTCCAAAGAGTTTACAAGCTCGAAGAGACACATATAAACGACACTAGAAAATGCAAAATCTCAGCAAAACAGTGTCTAGCTTAAAATCAAAAAATACATCTCTTACTTCTGAGCTTGAAAAATTGAAAAACAGCTTGGACACACATGCCTCTGGCTGCGAGACATTTATGAAAACTACCAATTTGCAACTAAAGTGTCTCGATGGCTTAGACTTTACAGAATATCAAGTAAAAAATAATAAGCTGAATGCCGATGTATCGAGGCTGTCAAAGCTTTGTTCAGGGCTGCAAAACAGGTGTCTGAAACGAAAATGACCAAAATGAGCAAATCATTTGCAACGGTGGTTTCCTCTACAAGTACTTCTTACACCTTACATAGCACGCATACAAGCGATAACGGTACTTCACACCTTAACGATCAGGTTCAAAATCAGTCACATTTTGACTCTTCCTTAACCATGGCACCTACAAATGCTGTACAAAATCTACAAGAGAAATAAATCTTGTGCGGAAATAGGAAAAAAGTGCATTTGGAAAACGAAAATGAAAATTACAAAAAGTCTCAAACCTCCCACGAAAGTAATTTCAAAACACAATGTAAGAGTGCTAACGGTCCTTCACAGGTGACTGACCAAACACACAATCTACCTGACAGTATACCGACCGGTAACTTTACGCGCGTCACTACATCCGAGATCATCATGATTGACAAACAACAAAGCTCTACCTTGACCGTTGACCAGGACGGTCTAACAAACGGAGTTGAGGACAAATCGCCTTCATTGAAACAAAATGATTCATATCCCCGCAAAATGACAACACAAACTAGATGCTGTCATGAGACAGTAATACCCACACTAAGGTGTTTGCCACTAAATGCACGCTCTTTCAAATTGGGCTTTACCAAGGAAAAAGTCAATATAATTCAATAATTTACATATGTATTCATCAAATTGAGCATAATATGCTCAGGTGACCATGTGACCCATGGGCCTCGATCTTATAAGTATTTCATATTCTTAATTCATTATCAGTCTGAAATTAAACAACAGAATTTAATTGATGATGTAAATTAGGTTTGATAAAGGGGGATATAGATTTTGGCCCATAATTGGAACTTTTTAAATCTATTTTCTCATATAGATCAACAACAAATATATTCAAATTAGTGTAAAGCGTTTTTGATGATTTTTTCAAAACTTTTTTTTATATTTGATTAGGCAGAAACACCTTGAAGGCTGCCATATACCCAATTAATTTAGTCAACCCCCCACCCCTCTCCCATCAACACACGCACACAAACACACCCTATTTACCTGTTTTTGGAAATAGGCCTAGATGGCAAAGTTATAAGATAAAACATCTTTTGTAAATGATAATTTTAAATTTGTTCTTGTACTATAAATGTATCGGAACACCTGCATCACATTGGGCTTGCGTCACATACCCACTTAAGTACTAGTTTTACCATTATCATTTTTAGATTGCACGTGCAGTACTAGTGTGGTGTACACATCATTGCATGTATCTCAGTAGGAATTATTTTGTGTTTTAATTGGATTATATTTCATGAAGTTGACGAGACCTATGACAGTCGGTAAGTACAAGTTTTGGTATAGATTTGGGTAAAATAGTCTGAAATGCGACTGGTTAGGTTAAAGTTTAAAGAATCAAAGGTCATCCGATGCTGCAATAAGACGAATTTCACATTCTGAAGAGTTATCGCCCGTTATCGATGTTACATTCAGTTACAAGATACAGAATTTTTTTTCTGGGATTGAGGGGGGATTTCCAGACTAGAATTTCCTGAGAAGCAAAAAAAAAAAAAAAAAAAAAAAAAAGAGAAGTTATGGTAGGGTCTGTTTTCTAGGATGGAGGGCATCCAAAATCATTTTTATTTGCTTCAGTATATATTATAGTCCTGCAAATTCCGGGGGGGGGGGTGTCTCCCAATCCACTCCCTGTCCCTGTAATGACAAATGATCATGTGACTCCTAAATAGTAGGAAACTTTTTCCATTTGACTATACATAATTTTTTTTTGTGTTATTATGTTATGTAAATTTAATGGTATAAAGGTTATGAACTCCTGGAGGTCATCCCCACTCTCCTAATGAACTGGAAATGTTCCCATGACTGCATTAAATTAAATAAAAGTGCATCAATGATAAGATTGCTTGACATTTTATTCATCAACCTATCCTCCTAGAATTAGGAATGAAAATCATTCAAAGAGATGGACCACATTAAACTATATTTGTATTAGGGATGGCAATCGATTGCAGAATTGCTAATCGGTTAATCACAAGACGTTCCGACCGATTAACCGGTTAGTCGTATCAAGATATACATTTTGACGTTTAATTTTTTTCAAATACTCAAGAAGGCTATAAAATGCGTTAGAAGTTATATTCTGTTTATCAATCTTGATAGGGGAATTTTATTTATAAAATTAAATTTTATTTTAATTTCAAGAGATGAGAAAAAATAATCACGAAAAATAAGAATTGTGCCTGAGAAATTAAACATGGACAAATTTCAAAAAAGTTAAAGAAGTTCATTCTGCATTGTCACTGTAATCAAAACTTTGTCTGAACTCTAACTTTGTTCTCTCTAATTGTTTCATTTAAAGGATAACGGCAAAATATAGACATACTAATTAAAAGGGTTAACGGTGATGTTTTTTAAAATCATTTAACATCACAGGACAGTCGGGGTAACAGGTATGATTTTAAAAACAGTAATTAACACTTTACAAACTGACCAATTGCCCCGCGATTTCCTTCTGGAGAACCATAATTACATAATTACCTCCAAATCATCTTTATTATAATATGTGTATAAACATTGAATGAAATTTTATGCAGCGGTTTCTTTTCTACAAAATGATTTGATAAAAACTACATTCAAATTTACATATATTTTATTTTTTCCGACTAACCGATTACGGATTTTCTAACCGATTAGCATCGTTCCGACCGATTAATCGATTATAACCGGTTACAAATTGCCATCCCTAATTTGTATACATAAACATTTTTTTAAAAATGTAAAAACAAGTAGTAGTTTGTTGAATGAATAAACGGGTCTGGGAAGGGGTGAGGGGAAGGATCGAGTTCATATCTCTTTAGGTCTTAATGGTT